CTACCATTGAATGACGTTGACAACTTATTTAACTCTTATTGCTGTAGGGTTTAATTCACCGTCTTGGAAATATCAAAAATCCATCTAAACTTTTAAAGCAAATCCACGTTTGAGATTTTTTAATAGTAACACAGTGTGAGAAATTGATTTTAATCACCAAATACTGGGTGCTCGTTAAATATTAAGCTACAAACGTTGTAAAGCTTTAAAACTGCCTGCCAATAATCACAAAAAAAAACGATTAACATGAATATATCACCCTTTTAAATGTATACCGATTCAAGTTCAAGAAACACGTTTTAAATTCTACTCATTAGAGCGAATTGAGATAATACGAATACGAATTGCAAGTAGCCTGYCACTGAGATTATAGTAAACATGTTTCAATATACACGCGCATATATATGTATATATGTATGTACATATACGGACAAATAGATGAGGCTTTGATTTTTAAACTTCCGAAATGTACGCAAAGTATTGAAATCAGTTTGATTTTAGCCGCTGAACCGTTGAGTGTGCCGCCCAGTGTCTGTTAAGAAAAGTTATTATTTTCATATTAAATACTAAGTATATACTAATACAATATACTAATACAGGTATGCCGTAATTTGTGTAACAATTAATAAAAGTAATATCAGATAATTTATTAGTAATACAAAAGTAATATTACCGCTATTATTTAAAAAAAAAGTGTTGAAAATTTGTCAAAAATGCAAAGGCTTAAAATTTGCTGAATGTTTGTCGAAAACAGTTACTACAGCTAATTTTTGAAGTAATTGTATTTATTTTGCGCTTGCTTATCTATGTTGTGAGCTAAAGAAATGAAATAATTTACTTTTATTGCCTATGCAAGTTATATACTATTAACAGTTATTAGGGGAAAACCACCTATTCCGATGACATTGATAAATCACTTGTTCACCCGCACACAATGAAGATGCATACTACATACACACACACGCACACATATGTATAGTATGTGCAAATAGCAAGATTTTGCAATTAAAATTGAATATAAGCTTAAGATGCGTTTGTGAGAAACTTCATTCTAGACACTTTCGATACGGCATTTGCTCTCATCTTGTTTACAAGTTTTGGCGCTAATATGTGCTGATATACATATACATATATATATACATATGATGATTAAGGTACTTGCAAATATGAGCACGTCTTCAGGCTAACGAATGCGTCAGCGAAATTTGGGTTTTTTGCGGTTTTTTGTAGGTTTTTTGTCTTTAATTCAATGAATTCGATTATGGAACAATTATTTTGGCATATCAAGTCGTCTCAGTTGGTTGAATCTTTAATCAGTCAAGGTTTAAGCACTTGAAATCTTCATTCAAGAAAATATTTGTTTGTTTCGAGGACAATTTATTCTGTTTGGTCTATTAAATTAGAAACACATGTTTATTTGTATATATGTATGTAGGTATTTATATTAAACAACTTGGGTCATTTGTTTTTACTGATAACCCCAAAGTGGGCTGAAAGTAATTATTTACAAAGACTCTATCTGCTTAGTTTATAATTGTATTATACGAGGTGTGTTCAAAAGACAACGGACATTTTCTTTTGTGTGGCAGCTTTATGCTGTAGTTTTCCAATATCGACAGTTTCGATAAAAGTGCCCATACACGACACACAAGTGCGTTCGATCGGTACGTGTGCGCATGCGGTTTACTCGTGTATGGGGTTGTGCGCGTACCGAGCATTGCAAGTGTTAAGGGAGCCTGCTTTAGAGGCTTTAAAACTTCTTTCTTTTTTTGTTTTTGAGGTTTTTTTTGTGGGGGTTGGGGGTAAAAAAATAATTGATTCTTTCTTTGATGTTCTGCTTTTGGGAAGCAATTGCCCGATGCATCT